CACGGTGACGTCGACGGGAAGCTTGCGGGTAGGAGCCCGCCATGTTGGACGCTAACCGAACCCTCAACCCTAAACCCTAAACCCTCAACCCTCAACCCTCAACCCTCAACCCTAAACCCTAAACCCTAAACCCTAAACCCTAAACCCTACACCCACCTGGGGTTAGATATATCACCTTAACCAATCCTCTTCCTCCCAGTGGCGTTGAGGAGTCGATGTGCAATGTCTCTCCCCCAGGAACCTCCCCCCCAGTGCACATCCTGGCTCATGCTGGCTTGCTTGTTTAGGGTTTAGGGTTTAGGGTTTAGGGTTTAGGGTTTAGGGTTTAGGGTTTAGGGTTTAGGGTTTAGGGTTTAGGGTTTAGGGTTTAGGGTTTAGGGTTTAGGGTTTAGGGTTTAGGGTTTAGGGCAACAGGAGGCACCTCTGACGTCTTCATTGCTGAGATCCTGCCCGATGCTGCAGAGACGATGCGCCGCTATAGGCTGTGCCAAGTCGAGCTCTGTGCTTTGTGCTCTCTTCCTAAAGCCTAAACCCTAAACCCTAAACCCTAAACCCTAAACCCTCTTTGCCTCTTTGTGTGCCTCTTTTTTCCCTCAGCTCGCCTCTTTTCTTCGCAGGTCTGTGTCTTCGCAGGGCACCTTGGCACCTGTAAATCAGCCACCAGGGTTTAGGGTTTAGGGTTTAGGGTTTAGGGTTTAGGGTTTAGGGTTTAGGGCTGTAGTGAATCTAGCCTTTGTGCCCAAGATCACAGCACCTCGCCGGGTGACAGTTCCCCCTTTTGGCATCCCCAAAGCTCAGTATAAGGCAAGTGTTGGGATGTTCGCCCTTATACTAACAGTCCTTAATCGGGATTCTAATAATTAGCCTCTATCATACTCCCCATGAAGGACTGTCAGTATATACTAACAGCCCTTAATAGGGATAATTCTAGTCCCTATTTGTTATAATCCCCATTAAGGACTACTGGTAGTATATACTAACAGCCCTTAGTCGGGATCATTATTGTCCCTACTTGCTATAATCCCCATTAAGGACTGTTAGCATAAGGAACCCTAAACCCTAAACCCTAAACCCTAAACCCTAAACCCTAAACCCTAAACCCTAAACCCTAAACCCTAAACCCTAAACCCTAAACCCTAAACCCTAAACCCTAAACCCTAAACCCTAAACCGGGAACATCCAAGGCAAGTGCCTCAAAGCCGCGAACGTCCAGCTGGGCTCCGCGACCTGCGCCGATGAGGCTGAGCCGGCCCCGCGGCTCCAGAAAAGGGGTTTAGGGTTTAGGGTTTAGGGTTTTAGGGTTTTAGGGTTTAGGGTTTAGGGTTTAGGGTTTAGGGTTTAGGGTTTAGGGTTTAGGGTTTAGGGTTTAGGGTTTAGGGTCCCAACCTCCAGGAGCAGATGATCGAGGCAAACGAACTTGGTTCCTTGCTGTGGGATGAGTCGCCTGGCCGCAACCCATTGAGGCCTAGAGTCAAGGCCTCTACGATTCAGGGTTTAGGGTTTAGGGTTCAGGGTTTGGGGTTTCGGGTTTCGGGTTTAGGGTTTAGGTTTTAGGTTTTAGGGTTTAGGTAGCAAAAAGCTCAGACAGAAAAAACTCCAGCGGAAGTTCTTCCGAACAGGTTTATGCCTTTCAGACAGTGCCCCCCGAACAGTAAGCCCTACACCCTAAACCCGAAACCCTAAAACCGTTTACGGTATAGGGTTTAGGGTTTAGGGTTTAGGGTTTACGGTTTAGGGTACACGCAACACCACAGCCAAAACCCCCGCTTCTAAAGAGCTCCCCCCCCCACCATGATTCAGGCCTGGGTGCAAGGAAACTGAATCGTCCGACTGGCAGCAGTGTGCAGATGCATGAGCGGCTTAGGGTTTAGGGTTTAGGGTTTGGGATTTAGGTTTAGGGTCTAGGGCTCTTTGATAGGATGCCTCAAGAACTCAAGACTTCTTTGCAAGGTAAGTTACCTAAGAAACCTAAAGGGGTGTAGCGTCTCGGCACGCCGTGCTCTTTCCCCAGGGTCTCGCTCAGTTCGCGCTGTTGTCGCTGGACAACCGTGCAAGTACTTACCAAGCCAGAACCCAAACCCTAAACCCTAAACCCTAAACCCTAAACCCTAAACCCAAAGAGTCCCTCTAATGGTAGCTTCGTGGGCCCTTAATATGGCACCTTAGCTTCCTTAGAGGCTTCTGATAAGGGGCATAGAAGGGGTCCCGTTTCAACGGCCCGTACTAAGGGACCATGAAACTACTCTAAGACCCTAAACCCTAAACCCTAAACCCTAAACCCTAAACCCTAAACCCTAAACCCCCCAAACCCTGGGATTGAGGTCTTAGGTACCCTTGAAAGCCCCTTCAAACCAAAAACGGGTACCCTTGTTCATTCCTTGGTCACTCTTGGGTCTAGAGCCCACGCCCTCCAAACCCTAAACCCTAAACCCTAAACCCTAAACCCTAAACCCTAAACCCTAAACCCTAAACCCTAAACCCTAAACCCTAAACCCTAAACCCTAAACCTTAAACCCTAAACCCTAAACCCTAAACCCTAAACCCCAACCCTAAACCCGAAACCCCAAACCCTAAACCCGAAACCCTAAACCTGAAACCCTAAACCCTAAACCCGAAACCCGAAACCCCAAACCCCAAACCCTAAACCCTAAACCCTAAACCCTACACGCACCTTAGGTTCCAAGCTGGCGCAAGCGTGCCTACACCGTCCGGGTCCGGCCTCTACTCCCGTGGCCAGGGGCCCCGGTTTCTTATCCCTCTGCAGCGCTCCAACACTCCCGGCTTCTCAGGGTGTAGGGTTTAGGTTTTAGGGTTTAGGGTTTAGGGTTTAGGGTTTAGGGAAGTTTAGGGTTTAGGGTTTAGGGGTTCCTTTGGGAAGTTGAGGGGTTGAAATGTTAAAGCTTCAAAGGGGGGGTCCTAGAAAGGTACCATGGAGGGATTCATGAAACTGAGGGACTGGCCCCACGACGCTGCGGAGCTTCAAGATGGATGCAGATTGTGGGCAGCACGTCATGGCTTCTGGGCAAGCAGAAGAGCTCTCGAATTAGGGTTTAGGGTTTAGGATTTAGGGTTTAGGGTTTAGGGTTTAGGACCCATACTGTGGTGCTTGCCTTGGGGACAGAAGAAGAGCCTTCAAAGGGGGGGGGGGGCCTCATGTTGTCCATACACCTTTATAAGGGATTGCAGTAGTATAGGGTAATTGAAATGATTCATGAACCCGAGTTCAGGGTTCATGTTGTGCCTTGTGTGTTGGTCTTTCTACGGAACGTGAGCTCAGGCGTCGATCAAGCTCAGCCACAACTCGTTGCTGGGTATGTGGCTTTGATAGCACATATCAGCACATGATGAGGATTATCCTGGAAAAGCCAAGTTGCCCAGGGCTCAAAAAGATGCGCAGACTTCAGTGACTGCAGTGCCCGGCTGTGGTGAAGTCCAAGGGTTTAGGGTTTAGGGTTTAGGGTTTAGGGTTTAGGGTTTAGGGTTTAGGGTTTAGGGTTTAGGGTTTAGGGTTTAGGGTTTAGGGACACGTTCCCCCCCCCCCCCCCAACAAAAAAAACAAAAGCACTGCATGCACCTTTTGACATGCGCCTTGTTCAGTTGCCCCATCAGTCTCCAGCCCGATCCACCGTTCCCAATTTCCCGGCGCGATGTAGAGGTCGGCCACGTGCACTGCTGCCAGCACCTATGGATCCCCGATTCAACACGCCGCCTGGTTCGTGTGGGTTTTGGGTTTAGGGTGCAGGGTTCAGGGTTTAGGGTTTAGGGTTTAGGGTGCAGGGTTCAGGGTTTAGGGTTTAGGGTTTAGGGTCGACATCTAGAGGTTTTTGGAAAGCCGGAAAAACGCTGTGAGCCGCTTGTGCACTTCTGCCAAGACGATCCCGGTGCCGGGTGCTGTCACGATCACAAGCGTGAGCGAGGGGACGTGCATGAGACGCCCAGCTGCGGTCAGAGTCAGAAGGGTAGAGTCTCAACCCTCAACCCTAAAGTACTAATTGCTTATAAGACCCCCCAAAAAAGGAAAATGTTCTTCCTTACTAAGGGTAATATAGGGATTATTGTTTGTTATTCTCTTGGGGTTCTTGAGCAATTAGTAAACCCCAAGCCCTAAGCCCTAAGGCATCAATCGCATCATTCCATGGAGACTCATCGACCAAAGCACATCTGGGTGTATGGACGACTCTGGGAATTCCGCGACGCTCAGAAGAAATCTGGCACCTCTCTACCCAGACCCCTGGGAGGATCCAAAAAGTAGATCCCCTTAAGTGTTCCTAAGAATGACCCAATGGGGGTCATGTTTTGGATCCTGCCAGGGGTCTGGGTATAAGACTACCTGGGCCATCTGGTCCTGTATTGGATCATCTATATTTAATATGATGACTAAGGTTCTGAGGGGAGTATAGCCTTGTTGGATCATATTTGGGACTGTGCCTTCGAGGGTTTCGGGTTGAGGGCCCGATGAGTTCATCATCGCACCGAGGAGAAACGTTTATGTGCATAGCTGCCACACCTCGAACAACCAGCTGTGGTACATGCTGGATGGGAACCTATATCCCCTTGGGAGTTTTTTATCATTGTTTATATAAAACCCAAGAGGATATTGAAAGTATTATTTTTCTTGAGGTTAAGAGGGGAGTGTAGGAACATCTTCACACTGCGCGACCACAAGTGCTTGGATTACAGCATGGACGGCACCGATAACGTCTACATGCACGAGTGCCACGACGGCGAGAACCAGAAGTGGTACTTTGATGAGGACACGAAGGCCATCCGCAGCGAGAAGGACCATCGATGCCTGGACAGGACAGGTACCGGCTCTGATGGCAACAATAAGAAAGGGAACCTCTATGTGCATGATTGTCACTTCAACACGAATCAACAGTTCGACTCTTGCCATGCAATTGGGCTCAGGAAGTTGTGACAGAGATGCAGTCTCACGGCGGGTACCTTTCACCCAAAATCCTTCCGAGGTGCGAGAAGAGAGGCCGGGCAATGCCTTTACCATGGCCCTTCACCTTGACTGCACAGTCGCTTTGCATGAAAGAGGGACCAAACATCGGCCAGGAAACATTTGGGGGTTTCCGAGATTAGAGGTACCTTATTGGGGGTCCTTTTTATACAGGGATCCTACTATTTGGGGATCTATATTGGGGGTCTCCTATTTTCATAAACCCCCATGTGTATGTGGGTCAGTGAAGACACCTGTTTGTTGAAAGTGACTCTTTACCCCAGCCTTTTGGCATACGAGGTCAGCGCAGATGCGTGTGCAAAAGGGGTCACGGTTCGACACGGGTATCGCATTTCTTGGTTTCAGGTGCATGTCTTACTGCACTTGCTCAAGCATTCTTCAAACCCTAAACCCTAAACCCTAAACCCTAAACCGTGGCTCGTGATGTTTCGGGCCTAATGGGAGCCGTTTGCAGGCCCATTTAGACGCCAATCACTGGCACATCTCTAGAGCTGCCGGTCCCTTGTATTTTTAGGGCTTAGGGTTTTTTTTCGTGTTTAGGGTTTAGGGTCTAGGGTTTAGGGTTTAGGTTTTAGGGTTTGGGGTTTGGGGTTTGGGGTTTAGGGTTTAAGGTAGTAGCTTATTCATTCTATTCTTATCTTGTTCTATTGTTAGCATTATATTCTTGCATTTGTTTTTTACTCTGTCTGTTCCCGTATTGTACTGTTATTTGGGATGTTCCCCCTTATACTAACAGTCCTTCATAGGGATTACAATAGGGGGTACTATCATCCCCATGAAGGATTGGTAGTATAAGGGGGGAACATCCCAACCTAAACCCCTAAACCCCTAAACCCCTAAACCCCTAAACCCCTAAACCCCTAAACCCCTAAACCCCTAAACCCCTAAACCCCTAAACCCCTAAACCCCTAACCCCCTAACCCCCTAAACCCCCTAACCCCCTAACCCCCTAACCCCCTAACCCCCCCCTAACCCCCTAACCCCCTAACCCCCTAACCCCCTAACCCCCTAACCCCCTAAACCCCCTAACCCCTAACCCTAACCCCTAAGACCCCTAGACCCCTAGACCCCTAGACCCCTAGACCCCTATACCCCTAGACCCCTAACCCCTAGACCCCTACCCCTAGACCCCTAGACCCCCCCTCCCCTAGACCCCTAAACCCCTCAACCCCTCAACCCCTCAACCCCTAAACCCCTAAACCCCTAAACCCCTAAACCCCTAAACCCCTAAACCCCTTAACCCCTAAACCCCTAAACCCCTATACCCCTAAACCCCTAAACCCCTAAACCCCTAAACCCCTAAACCCCTAAACCCCTAAACCCCTAAACCCCTAAACCCTACCTAAACCCTAAACCCTACCTAAACCCTAAACCCTAAACCCTGTTGAGTTCTCGGCGGCTCCGAGGACTCGGATGCCCAGCAGATCACCGTGGAGCCCTCGGGGGGCGGGAGCAGCTTCAAGCTGAGGCCCCCAGGGCTGCGAAGTATACAATAGGGTTTAGGGTTTAGGGTTTAGGGTTTTGGGTTTAGGGTTTAGGGTTGAGCTCGGGAGATGTGTACCTGGAGTGCCCCCCGAACGGGTCTAGAGGTTTTAGGTTTTTGGGGTTTTGTTGGGTTTTTTTAGGTTTTTTTTTTTTTTCCGAGCTGCGAAGTATACTATAGGGGTCGGAATAGTTACTAATAGTTAGTATTCCCTTATGGTCCCTTCGTACTTGTACTATAGTAACCCACAAAACCCTATACAACTCTTTCGTTGCTATTGAGGCTTCTTTACCATGCATTCTTCACATCCTAAGTATGAGTCTTGAATGGTATTCTCGTGCGTGTACAAAACACTCTGTTTCACCTTCATCGCACAGACTTCGGTCCGCATGCCCCACAAAACCCTATTCTAGTCATTAAGGCCCCCATATTTTACGCGGAGTCCCCCCCCTCAAACGGGTTTTTCAGGGTGTTTAAGGGTTTGTTTTAAGGATTTCTTGTCCGGTTTTTAAGTGTTTTTGGGGTTTTCAGGGTGACTCCCCGAAACTCTGAGTCACAGTCTTCCCATCCACCACGCCGGCCCCCCCAAAAACTTGCCAAGCCCCGGTGAAGTTTAGGGATCCTTGAGGGAGGAAACCATACTAGGTATAGTTAAGGGACCTATAACCTAAGCTAGGATCCTTATAACCCAATCTAGGGTCCTTAAAACTATACTAGGTAGAGTTAAGGGACCTATAACCTAAGTTAGGATCCTTATAACCCAATCTAGGGTCCTTAACACTCTACTTACAACTAGGGGGGGCACAACTAGGGGGGGCCCCTCCTTGTAGCAGCTATCATGCGATTTTTCAGGGAAGGGGGGGGGGGTTCAAGGTTCCCTTGTCCTCCCCACTGCTCCCTAAGACTCCCGAAGCTTCCCTAAAGTTCCCCAAGGGTCCCTGGGTACCTACCCCCCATCAACCCCCCTCCACGAAGAACCCTAAACCCTAAACCCTAAACCCTAAACCCTCCAGAACCCTCTAAGTGAAGGAGAAGTCCGCACACCCTGCCAAACGACTGGAAATACGACTCCGACAAGAAGCGCCTCACCTGTTGGGCCCTTTAGGGTCTGGGTTTAGGGTTTAGGGTGTTTAGGGTTTTTAGGGTGTTTAGGGTTTTTAGGGTGTTTGGGGTTTAGGGTGTTTGGGGTTTAGGGTGTTTAGGGTCTAGGGCGTTTGGGTTTTTAGGGTGTTTGGGGTTTAGGGCGTTTAGGACTTTTAGAGTGTTTAGATTTTTGGGGTGTTTAGGAATTTTAGGGTGTTTAGGGTTTAGGGTGTTTGGGGGTTTAGGGGCTTAGGGTTTAGGGTTTCGGGGTTTACGGGTTTAGGGTGTAGGGTTAAGGGTTTAGGGATGAGGTGCCCGTGTGTTGGAGGTTCTCCAGGTTTCCGGGGTCCAGCACCAGGCCTACTTTTCCGCAGGTGCATCAACAACCCGTAAGGTCTGTTTAAAGTGGTAAGCGCTCAGACCCTGAAACCCTAAACCTGAAAACCTTCAACCCGACATCCTAAAACCCCAAATCCTAAAACCCTAAGCCCCTAAATCTTAACCCCTAAACCCCTAGGCCCCTAAACCCCTAAACCCCTAAACCCCTAAGCCCCTAAACCCCTAAACCCCTAAAACCCTAAAACCCTAAAACCCCTAAACCCCTAAACCCCTAAAGCCCCTAAAACCCCTAAACCCCTAAACCCCTAAAACCCCTAAACCCCTAAACCCCTAAACCCCTAAACCCCTAAACCCCTAAACCCCTAAACCCCTAAACCCTAAACCCACGTAAACAGAGGACCATCAAGAAGACCAGTGGCAACAAGTGCCTGGAAGCGCGCGGCCGCGGCCGCGTCGAGGAGGTTGATTGCTCCCAGCGCTCCTGGGCCTGCTTTTCTGGCTTTATAGGGTAGGGTTTAGGGTTTAGGGTTTAGGGTTTAGGGTTTAGGGTTTAGGGTTAGGGCTTTATAGGGTTTAGGGTCTAGGGTTTAGGGTTTAGGGTCTAGGGTTTAGGGTTTAGGGCTTAGGGGTCCTCAATTTGGGATCTGGGCTCTAAGGTTTGTCATGTCTCCGAATCCTTCAAGCACTGTTGCTCTCATCCGGCTCGCCCTCAATTCCAGCTACTTCTTGTGAGGGTTCTCCTGTAATGGAAGACGGATCCCTAAACCCTAAACCCTAAACCCTAAACCCTAAACCCTAAACCCTAAACCCTAAACCCTAAACCCTAAACCCTAAACCCTGTAGAATCCTACAGGCCCTGGAAGCCAGAGGGAACTGCGCAAATCAAGGGACTAAAGGAGGTATATAGGGACTATATAAGGTGCATAGAAGGGTTATTCAGGGGAATCAGATGAAGGTCTAGGGGTCCCTCCTTATACCCCTAAAAGCCCTAAACCCTAAACCCTAAACCCCAAACCCCAAACCCTAAACCCTAAACCCTAACCCTAAACCCTAAACCCTAAACCCTAAACCCTAAACCCGAAACCCTAAACCCTAAACCCTAAACCCTAAACCCTAAACCCTAAACCCTAAACCCTAAACCCTAAACCCTAAACGCAAAGGCATCGAGCAGGAGTGGACCATGTCGCATGGCCTGCCCGGCCTCGTAGACGCACCGATCAGCTGCCCTGGTGACCAGGATGCTCGGCCCAGCTTGACTTACTTTGGGTTTAGGGTTTAGGGTTTAGGGTTTAGGGTTTAGGGTTTAGGGTTTAGGGTTTAGGGTTTAGGGTTTAGGGTTTAGGGTTTAGGGTTCAGGGTTCAGGGTTCAGGGTTTAGACTTAGCCAATACTTGAACTTTAAAATAGCACTTTTTGGGTGTTCGTAATTAGTAGGAACTTTAAGAACACTTTTCTGGGTTCCCGTATTTAGTAGGAACAAAGTTCGGCTTTGCCTTTTGTATTCCTTGGTGCTGGTAGGAGTAAGGTGATTGGGTGCAGTTGGCGGGATGGTCTTCAAGTCCAGGAAAAGCCACGTTGGAGGTTTTCAGGCTCCCTCGACCCCTGTTTTGTCTTGGCGGCGCGAGTGCTTAGCATTCGGCTTCGAATACGTACAACTTTAACAAAGCTGTTGTACGGATCGTGTCTCAAAGATGATTTGACC